CATTACACAAAGTGGAAGATTTTCAAAGGTATAAATGGCAGTTAGAAATGCCATATTTATACCTTTGTAAATCTTCACCAAATAATGTATAAACATCAGTCAATTGACGTACTGGTCAATATATATGCATCATTGTCCTCTGTAGATGGAATCAGACCTTCTCAAGTGTTTGTGATTATATTGCCTTGTAGCAACTGTCCTAACAAACCACAGATCTATATCACATGATCTCTCTTGGAGAGTCTCCTTTAGTTAATGTGACGGAGGTCTGTTGTGTGTTTTTGTTTTGTTTTTTAAGCCCAAGGTCTTGGCTCTTTAACGCTGCATGTTTTAGTTAGCTGGTGATTTTAACGTGTATGAATTATACCATATATGCATTGATAAATTGTATTTGCCATGCACCTGTGAGTGCCTCACCTGCACTTTGGCCCATTAATCTAACTCCCGCTGTATTTATTCTAGCATTCCAAACCTCTGAGTAGCTTCAAACAGCTGTGATTTTTTTTCAAAACCTGCCAAAGAGATGTTTCCTTCTTTCCCCCCACTAGGGAGTTTTCCCCACCAAATTACGCCGGCCCAAGAACCAAGATGGGAGCATTTAGTCCTGCACCAAAGAAAATTGTAATGTCTGGTATAGCTCATAAACTTGCAGGGCTAGACATGAGAGCTTTTAAACCACTGGAAAGGGAAGATTCCCAGGTTTCCAGTACTTGCCCCTAGATCTGGAAAATCCTATCCTGAGATAGCAGAGCTTACAATCATGGCATTCTTATGTATAGGAATGTTATTTTAGATAATTTTTAGAAGATTCTAAGATTTATTGGTCATATTTTCTCTTTGAGACCTGGACAGCTGGACTATGTGTAAATAAGGTGCCTGATGTTACAGGCACAGGGATATGAAAAACAATACCAATAATATTTTTAAAACTCATTTTTTTCTGTAAAATAGTGGCAAACCTCATAGAGAGTACATGATAATATGGTATAAAAGTTTTGTTGGCATTCACTTAAGATGGCATACATAATTCATTCATAAACTTGATCATTTGTAATGTGGCCACCCCAAATGAGTGTTAATAAACCTAAATCATACTATCAGATAACCTCTCTATATATTTCTCCATCCACTAGAATGGCACGTTTTATATACACACTCTAGTGAGTCTATTTCACATTTGCCATTATTATTTTTTTCTGATCAGTTTCCCTTCAATACTGTCTTATTTTTTACCTATTTCAAATGTAATCATTCCCATGACTGTTCTCATATGGGATTTTCTTCTCCCCGCACTCTCTTGTGTATTTTTAACAACTACTGCCATGTTGTAATGATCTTTAGTTACGTGTCTGTGTGTGGATGAGAGCCAAAATAAAAATACTGGCATACTGTACATGAAGAAGAAGAATTATTATATTGATAATGTAATTGATAGGTTGATTAATAAAGGCAGCTTTTTGCTACATACTACAGAAACATAGGATATAAATTCAGACCAGACCAATGATGTATCAATGTCAAAATGGAAAAATGTTATGGTATCTTACTCAAACTCCCTCCATTGTACCAGAATAGCTGGATGCATCTGCTAAATTGATCATCATTGAAAGAGTTAATAAATGTTGACATCTAAGTAAGAATTAACACAATTGGTAATAGAAAATAAATATAAATTCTCCTGTGTTTTTATTTGACAAGAAAGGGAAGGAGTGAAATAGTTAAAGACATAAGTTATGAATTGGAGTCGCAGTGTGAATGTGGGCATTACACCCAAAGCTCAGTGTTGTATTTTCCAGATGTGCTGGATGTGTGGGAAACATTCCAGCCAGTTTGTATTTGTGAGTTAAGAAAGTAATCCTGTTTGAAAAAAAAATTTGCCACTACCCAAAAAAGCCCCTGAAAATTTCAAAATCCAACACTTTTAAATTCATCTGGCAATAGTGATTTGATAAAAAATATAAAAACAGTGTAAGAAATATTAACAGGTGGAGATATTAATATAAGCAGTAGTTAAACTCTGAGGGGAGAAAGAGGTAAGTAATATTTTTACTATTAACTGCAAGTGATATTCTTACAGTTACAGACTGTTAAGTAAAGCCATCTTAAACCCCTGACACAAATAAGTGTTAAAAAATTCAGGGCCTATGACAATGCCTGTTGAAGTAATTTGGAGTTTTTCCACTGACTTCAAGGGACTTTTGGATCAGACATATTTAATGCCACTTCTCTGTTAAGGAGAAAGGAGGGGCACAGTGATATAGTCAGTACTGATTTTTTCACAATGGGAGATGGGGGAAGGAACATTTTAGAGAGAGAGGGAAATACAGGTGCAAAGTTGTCCAAAAATTCTTGACTGGGGTTGGGCTAGGAACAAGGATGTGAGTGGAGAGCTAGATGAGTCTGAGCAGGTGTGTGTAAGTAGATGAATGTGTGAAGCGGTTTAGAGCAGATGGGTGAGACAGAATAGGATGTGAATGAGAGATAACAGGAGATGAGTTAAGAGGAAGGCAGTGGGGAGAAGGATGGGATGAGGAAGAGCTTGAGCATGAATTGAATGATTGTGAGGGAGACTGAATGGAAGAAAAAGAGGAAGAATTAAGAGGAAATAGTGAATGAGGATAACTAGACTGAAATTAGGAGAGTAAATGAAACAGTGAAAAAAGTGAATATATGAATAGCATAGGAAAGGATGAATGGGCTGAACTCCTAAGTACTAAACTTGTGTAGGGAGTCAGAGATTTCAGTGAGATTACTTGAGGATCAAAATAACACTCAGAGCAACAAGAGTGGCAGAACCTGGCCCTTTCATAATTAATGTACTCAACAGCAAGTTTGACCTGATACATGTACAAAATTAGCAGGGGGAGCAGACAGTCCTAGCTCATATTCTCTTATTGGAGTACCAATACAACATTTCAGTCTTCAGAGGAAAAAGGTACTTCTTATTTTACACAAATAGAAACTCACAAAATTAAAATAAGAACCCATAATTTTTGCATTTCTAGGTGGCTTAGGTGGGAAGGAAAAAGGTCAATTGGCATTTAAAGTTAGGTTGACCCAACCCCACATTGAAAAGACAAGAAAGGAGGAGGAGAAATTAAGCTGAGGATTTTCTCCATGTAGTAATCAGAAACTAGAAAAACTGCTGGTGGTATGATAGGGTCACCTGTTTCCTAGGAAGTGGACTAAAACTACCAAGAATTGTCCAGTGGTTAAGGCACTAGCCTAGCCTAGAAGTCTGCTACAGATTTCCTGTGTGACCTTAAGTAAGTTACTATGCTGCTCTGTGCCTCAGTTCCTGATCTGTAAAATGGGGATAACATTTCTCTACCTCACAGCAGTATTGTGAGGAAAAATGTATTAAAGATTGTGAATCTCTTTGGGATCTACTGATGAAAAGTGCTAAAGAAGAGCTAGATATTATTTTACACAGGCTACTGAATAACCATCAGCACATCAATCACAACCTTTACTAACATTCTAGGCCAATTAAAGATGAGTTTCCTTATCCCACTGACAGTCATATGAACTAGACCAGGGGTTCTCAAACTGGAGGTTGGGACCCCCTCAGGGGTTCACAAGGTTATTACATGGGGGGTTGTGAGGTGTCAGCCTCCACCCCAAACCCTGCTTTGCATGCAGCATTTATAATGCTGTTAAATATATAAAAAAGTGTTTTTAGTTTATAAGGAGGGTTGCACTCAGAGGCTAGCTATGTGAAAGGGGTCACCAGTACAAAAGCTTGAGAACCACTGAACTACTCTGTTTCCTCATTTTTATATTTAGAGTCAAATCTTGCTTTACTCATCTGTGTAATTCCATTAAAATGAGGGGAACTATTTCACTGAGTATGATCTGGCTCTTTATGGCAATGCTTTCGTAAGTGTGGCCATGCACACAGCAGTGCAATGTTTTTTAAATGTATAAATAACATAACCACAGTTTTGACTGCTTAATTTCTATGGGGTAGAAGCAAATGAGTGTGACCTGTTGTAAATCCAACCGGTTCGGGCTGAAGTTGCTGTACTTGTTTCTGGAATACCCTATTCCTAAGAGCATCCAAGTTAAGCACAACTGTCAAAAAGAGATGGTAAACTAGTGTCGCAGCTATGACACGAAACGTAGCGACCTGAAGCATGCTGGGGGGATGCACAGATCAGGAGCTGACAAACTCAGATCAAGTATTGTGCCGAGCTCATAGGTGGGGGAGTAGGGTTGTGTGTGTGTGTGTGTGTGTGTGAGAGAGAGAGACAGTCAGGCGGGGGGGGGGGTGTAACTCTAAAATAATAGGTTTCAGAGTAGGAGCTGTGTTAGTCTGTATCTGCAAAAAGAACAGGAGGACTTGTGGCACCTTAGAGACTAACAAATTTATTTGAGCATGAGCTTTCGTGAGCTACAGCTCACTTCATCGGATGCTCACGAAAGCTCATGCTCAAATAAATTTGTTAGTCTCTAAGGTGCCACAAGTCCTCCTTTTCTTTCTAAAATAACAGTGATGTTTTGCCTAAATATAGCACGTTTCTTCCCATCCAGCTAGTCCTGCTCAGCTCCTTCCCGCCTACGCTCCCCGTGCTCGCTACTGCCCTCCAGGCCCCACGTGCCAGCTTCTCTCCGTTTTTCTTCCCCACCGCCCGCAGGGGTCCGACCCCAATACCGCCCTTCCCTATAGCCCCACCCCATGCGCGCACGCGCGCTAGGAGCAGCTGGTTAGGGCGGGGAGGAGGCGTCGTAACGTCACTCCAGCGCAGGCGTCCCAGGAGGCGCGAAATTTCCAAACCGGCGGCGCGGCGCGAGGCCCGGGGCCACGGGGTAAGAGGAGGGGGCGGGGCTTGGGGAGGGTCCGGGGTCATTTTCCATTATCGGGGCAGAGGGGGGGGGGCCCGTGTCCCTCAGGCGCCAAGGGGGAGGCCGAAATTGCCCCCCAGCGCCGGGCGGTGAGGTTAGAGGCTGCTCTGCGGCCGCCGGCGGGGGGGCGGTGCCGTGCCCGTGCCTTCCGCTCCGGGCGGGCCCGGTCGCGGGGGACGGGTGTGGGTCCCTTCCGCAGTGGCTCCGGTCCGGGGCGCTGCGAGGCCCTGCTGCTGCTGCTGCCGCCTCGCTCGCGGGGTTCCCCCCTTCTCCCCCCCCCACCCCCGCGGGGGTCGGGACCCTGCGCTGGCACCCGCCCCTCGCTCCGGGCAGCGCCCAGGCCTGAGGGCGCCGGCACTGGCGGAGGTGAGAACAGGGTGTTCTTCAGCTGATCCCGGCTTGGTCCCTTTGCGCTGGTGAGAAGCGTTTCCCCTGTAGGGTGAGCAGATGTCCCGATTTTTTTAGGGGCAGTCCCGATTTTGGGGTCTTTTTCTTATATAAGCTCCTATTTACCCTCCACCCCGATCTTTTCACATTTGCTCTCTGGTCACCCTATTCCCCAGGGTGTGTGGCAGCCCCGAGCAGGGGCAGGGTCTCTGCAGCGCCAAGCGGGGCACCTGGGGCTGCTTCTCCCTAGCTTGAAACTAACTAGGTTAACAAAAAGAAAAGGAGTACTTGTGGCACCTTAGAGACTAACCAATTTATTTGAGCATAAGGTTTCCTGAGCTACAGCTCACTTCATCAGATGATGCCTGTTTAAACTATACACAGCTGACGCCCTAACACTCAATGGGAATCACATCTCTAAATCCCTTGCAGCTCTTGGAAAACGGGGGGTGGGTTTAACTTTGCCAGGATTTACTCAGTTCCTAATAATATTTTGCATTTCTTGGGCATCTTCCACTTGACCACAACAAAGCTCTTTATAAACGTCAGTGAATTAAACCTCACACTTTGCCTGTAAGGTAGGGAAGCCATTACAGAACAAATTCATTCCTGTTACTACTAAAGACAGTATAGCAATATCAGGGCTGTATTTGGTTCTGTATTTGTAACGTTTTGCGTAAGGTGTATGGAAAGGGTTTACACTGTGACTCTTCTCATGGTACTTTGCCATAAATTCATATTCATTAATGTACATTGCTTGCCATACAGCATTGCTAGCTTCTCCTTGCTACCTTGCTGTTGTGTTTCGTCCTTGTTCTGCAGCTGAGAGAAGATAGTTAAGTCAGCTTGCCCTGGTTATTTTTGAACTTTTTTGAGAAAGCCAACAAGATTGTCAATTACTGTCAAACATGGGGGTGACTTTTGTGATTCTGACATGTATATACTAGGAACTGCAAGGAGACAACATATGTAAATATTCATTTCACATAGGTCACAACCATCAGAAAACAACTGGTCTGTTTCTGTCAGTTACTAACAAAATCTGGATTTGAATTCACAATACAGTGATGAAAGTCTCTGTATCTGTTACCAATGGCCCTAACCATCCAGTCTCAGGTTAGGATGGCAAGTGGGAATCATAAAGTCACTGTACAGTTTATAGCAAATGGCTTTAGGCCTCATGCCAACAGCATACAATTTTAGCATACAAATACACATCCAAAAGATCTACTGAGAGGAGAACAAATAACTTGCAACTTCGTTATACCTGGTCTCGAACAATCTGAACCCAACTTTTGCACGGTGTAAGCCAACATTTTGAGACTTCTGTGCTCTAGGGCAGAAACTGTCAATGTGCATCTTTTGCCACAGTGTATCTAGTCTTTTTTTCAAAATGAAGTTATTTATATTACTGTTGTGCCTAGGAACCCTAGTCATGGACCAGGATCCCACTGAATTAGGCGCTGAACACAGAACAACCACAAATGGTGCCTGCTCCAAGGAGTTTACAATCTGAAGCATAAGACAAAAGACAGGCAGAGGAGTATAAGGAAATGATATAGTACAGTGGTTCTCAAACTTTTTTACTGGTGACTTCTTTCACAGAGCAAGCCTCTGAGTGCGACCCTCCCTTGTAAATTAAAAACACATTTTTATATATTTAAAGCCATTATAAATGCTGGAGGCAAAGCGGGGTTTGGGGTGGAGGCTGACAGCTCGCGACCCCCACACGTAATAGCCTTGTGACCCCCGAGGGGTCCCGACCACAGTTTGAGAACCCCTGATATAGTATTTGTCAACATAATAGGCAGTGGTCATAACAAACCAGCAGCCTAACTGTTATCAAATATATTGCAGTCATCATGACAAAGGAGAGTTTTGAAGAGGGATTTGAAAGTGGATAATGAGGTAGTTTTGCAGATGGGGAAGGCCTCCCAAGCATGAGGGACAGAATGGGAGAAAGCAGAAATAAAACTAAACAAGTGGACTTACTAACATCATGAGCCGAGGGGAGGTGAGTGCTGGCAGCTTGATAGCAAATGAGAGATGATTGGTAGTGTGGGGATTAACTGTGAAGGGCATTGAAAGTGAATACAAGCAGTTTATTGCATCAAACATAGAGAAGTGGGAGCTAATGGAGGGATACAAATGGAGGGAAAAGAAATTTCAGGAGAAGCAGCCAAGTTTGTCTGAGGTTTTTACTCACAATTGTAGATGGGATTTCAAAAATCCACCTTCCAGAAAACTTGAAAAATAGGTAGCAAGTAAACATAATACCATTCCCTCTCTTCTTTACTGATGATGATTCAGACCTTCTCTATTGTTCCATCCACTTCAAAAATGCCTGAATTCTTTTTTTTGAAGCTTTCCTATCTGTGACTGTTAAGACCTTGTTTTATAGCGGATCAATTTTCTGTATACTTTTTAACCCACATTTTGCTTTTCTTATGTTAGGGTTGCCACCTTCCTATCTTTGTGGGATGACGGTTTGTGCCACAACATTATGGTGATAGGTCCTATTTCAGATAAATTTGGGACACTTTAAAAATAGTGACAGGCCCATGAAAATCATTGTCTTGTAAATTTTGGGATAGACAACAAGCTCTCTTCTCTGCTCCTGTCCTTTCATCTTATCTTTTTGGTTATTTTTTTTCTTCCTTCCTGCTGTCTCATCTCTCCCCATCCATCTTTAGATAATGTATGGGCTGATATTTCTTCACCATTGCCATCTTTTGGATAGAAATAGATCTCTTAAATTCTTGCCCTCTAGTTCTTTTGTAAAGTGGCTATAAACCCTAATACTGTCTACCCCCAGTGGAGATTTTCCTAGTGACAGTCTTGTGATTTGGGAAAAGAAAATCAAGATTTCTATTTCCCATGTTGCACATATGTTTTATGTCTGTATGTACATGGCCACTGACTGTTACATACTATTTTTCTTTGTGTTTCATCTCTGTTCCTTCTGTTTTTTTTCATTATTCTATGTTGTCTCTGATTTTCTCTTATTCTATAATATCTTTCCTTTTCCCTAAGTGTGTTTTTAGTATTTCCGTACAATTGTAGAGCTGTTATGTTTATGGCTGAGTATTCATTTTAGAAGATGGCATGTCTGATTTGTAGCTCTAGCAATAGTTTTTCTTATACTGAAATAATTATATAGCACATATTATCTTCAGAGTGTTTTATAAGCAATCTTCAGAGGAATGTTTAATATAGAAGGTGGGAATATCATTTGCATTTTATATTTGTGCTGAAGTAGTACTGAAGGTGAATGGAAAAGAAAGAGAGGTTTTTCATTATTGGGCTTCAGTGATCCCAGGAATACAAATAGAGTAGCAGTATAGAGAGTATATAAATATACTAAGGAATAGCTTTGGAAAGAGATAACTCTCTATTAATTCAACATTGCTTAAGATTTAAACCTTCTGATGTCAGGGATTTCTGAGTTAAGGCTCCTCTGATAAACTTAAAGCATGGTTCTATGCTGAAAAGTGGCATTGTAAAAATGTGTAATGCCGAGATTCCAACCCTCCCTAATTTTCCATAATCCTATGTCATTTTGTGCACATTGTGGCTGAGAAAAGTACGAAGTTCCTGCCCATCACTGTAGATGAACTTCTTACTGACATCTAATATTTTTTGACCAGAGCATGGAGCTCATCATCTGTCAGAAGCTGTGTGATGTATAGATCTATAAGATAATGAAACATGTAAGTACATGCTGGCTGTTGCTTGGTCTGTGTCTGACTCAGCTCATCCAGCAGTGGGAACTACTCACCATGTTCTTCTGGACTGAAGCAGCAAAATTGGAAGTTCATTCTTGGGGCATCAGGTGCAAAGTTACGACTGTCAGTCTACATTGTCTTCCTTTGCAGCAAAATAAAAAACCAACACAGATGCTGATAAGTCTTGTGCTGAGGTGACAAGCCACAAAACCAGACCATAAGCGACAACCTAGTGAAAGTCAAGATGGGCCACGCAGAGCTGAAATCAGCTATATTAGCAACAATCAAAAATTGAACCTGGAGTAGTAGCGACCCACAGGCAGTTATCAAAGTCAAAACTGGGCATTGCAGCAAAACAAAGATTATCTCAAAAGCATTGCGACTGCAAGCATACAGGTTAGGTTGCTGATGCCAAGCATGACAAAGCAACTGAACTGACATCGGATGCCATTCCTATGCCAAAAACAAGCTGCAGAACTAGGCATTGAAAGTTGTGATCGTATAAGACACTTGATGATTTCTTCACAAGTGAAACCTTATTGCCTGTTCTTAGACTATACAATCATGATCTTTGACGAACTGAACGCTGCAAAAAGAGGAGTTGCTGATTCTCACACTCAGATGTCACTTATTCAGTCTTCTGCAGTGATTTCTGTATCTGCTGAAGGATTATTCACAGCAAGACACACTACAGGAGCGGTTTCCTTGGTGTCAGATCAATGACATGTCATCTGTTCCAGTGTGCACCAGTTGTGATGAACAATGGCATACCATGTCACAGATAACGGAAGCCTATGGCAAAACAGCATACAATGCTCTAGCTCAGATAATGCAAGTGATCTTCAAAGAAACTCTGATACAGAATTTTGTATTCTGCGTGGGAAACAAACTGAGTTCAGAACAAATCTTGGTGATAAAGGTTTGGAATCACTGATGATCACTAAAGTGGACTTACTTAGTCAACCCTGCCACTTGAAAAATCCGGCAAAGTATTCTTGCGAAAGACCAAGCAAAGAAACCTGCTTGCAAAGCAGTGAGGATGTGGCCAATATCGTGATCAGACCTGATCTGGTTACTGATGTTACTAAATAAAATGTTACCTCAGTTTGTACCACTGTTGTTACTATAATGTTCACAGAAGTGCATCTAAAATGCACTGCAAGCATTTAAAGCACTACCCCAGGCCCCCTGTATTTTTGTTTGGCATCGCACCTTTGAGAGTTGCCACTAATCCAAGCAACCTCCCTAATTCCC